GGAGCGAGCTCCTCCGGGCCTGGACGCCGTGGGCCCAGGCGTGGGAGCGAGCTCCTCCGGGGCCTGGCAGCCGTCAGCAGGGGAGGCGTGCTGCTCCCTGACAGGCTCGTGCTGCTCACCCTCCTGCTGCTGCTGCTCTGCGGGGTCACGGCCAGCTGTGTGCGGTTCTGCTGCCTCCGGAAGCACATGCACCCGCAGACACACCTGCCACCCGCATGGCCACCCTGTGACCCGATGGGCACCCCTGGAGACAGCGACAGCCCGGCACACAGCACTGTGACCTGTGAGTGCCCAGTGGTCCACGGCCAGAGCGAGGCTGGAAGCTGGGGGGTGGCCGGGTGGGGCGGGGGCAATGGTGAAGGCCGGGCTACCTCCTCAATCCCACCCTGATTCCTGCAGCTTACAGCTCTGTCCAGTACCCACTGGGCGCGCTTCTGCCCCTGTCTTTTGGGGAGCTGGATCTTGACACCATAGCTCCTCCTGCCTACAGCCTGTGTGTCCCTGAGCTGCCACCCTCTTATGACGAGGCCATCAAGACAAAAGCCAGAGAGGGAAACCTGGCTTCTGCCCAGAAACCAGGGCCTCTCCCTGGGGCCTCGAGTCTAGAAACCACTCCACAGCCCCAGGGGCCAGGGCCCAATGTCCAGCAGCCCTCGTTGTAGCCCCTGGGCTCCTTGCAGGGGCTGGGAGAGCTCTTCTGAAGCCGTCAGACCAGCGGTGCCTGGGCCAAGGACCCGCCCACCCCACATCCTTTCCTTGGGAAGGCCAGCCATCCAGTACAGCACATTGCTGCAGCCCGGGCCCCGTTGCTATGCAATTCCAGCCAGTCCACCTGGCCCAACTTGGGGGCCCTCTGCCTGGAGTAGGCCCACAGGCCTGGGCCTTGGGAGTTCTGGGCTTGAGATGTTCTCAGTTTTTTGGAGAGAGAATAAAGTTTACATCCAAATCGTCTCTGCCTGTGTGGGAAGGGTTGTACAGGTGCAGACAGGGCAATCTTGTGGGCCATCTGACCTCTAGGTCTGGGAGATGGAAGAGGGCAGGTGTTGTAGCAGAAGTGGTCAGGATCCCCTGCTGGCTGGTACCCCTCCTCTCCAGATAGGACAGTGAGGCAGAGTCAGCAGACTCAGCTTGACTCAGAGCTGGAGGCGGGAGGCGGGAGGGCAGCGGTGGGCGGCGGCTGGCCCAGACAAGCGTCTCCTAGCTGTCACAGCTGTCCCCCGCACCGCCGCGAAGGACTCTCCCGTCATCACGGCCACAAGTTCTGGGGACAGAGGCGCAAGGTCAGTGGCTGCCCTGGCCAGCTGCGCAGCTCCCACCGCTCGTCCCCACGCTTCAGAGTGGATGGTTCCACCCTGTCTCTGTCAGCCTCCTGCATCTGTTCCACCTCCACCCCCAGGGGCACCCCTCCCCCGTCACAAGCACAGCCAGCCCCCCTCCCATTCAGGATACCCACAGTGTCCACCCACTGCCCAGGCCCAGAACACGCACAATGTCCACCTGCTGCCCACAGCCAGGCCCTACTTCAGGGTGTTCCTGTCCATGTCGCCCTTGCTTTCTTTGTCAAAGATCTGGAAAGCTGCCCCCAGCTGCCCTCAGCTGCCCTCCTGGCTCTTGGCTTTCTTGCGGTAAATGCCCAGCAGGGCCAGGAAGCCGCCACAGTTGAAGAACCTTTTGTCTGAAAGGAGTTTTTGTTTTTTTGGTCAGTTGTGGGGCTTGAACTCTGGGCCTGGGCGCTGTCCCTGAGCTCTTCAGCTCAAGGTGAGCACTCTACCACTTGAGCCACGGCGCCACTTCTGGTTTTCTAGTGGTTTATTGGAAATAAGAGTCTCACAGACTTTCCTTTCTGGGCTGGTTTTGAACTGCGATGCTCATATGTCAGCCTCTTGAGTAGCTAGGATGATAGGCGTGAGCCACTGGTGCCCGGCTGGAAGGAGTTTTGCCAGCCCAGGGGCTTACGTGAGGGCTGTTCCAGTTTCATTTCCCTACCCACACAGACCAGAGCTGTACCAGCCACCCAACAGCCACCTTCCCTGGCTCACTGTCTTGGTCTGTGTCCCTGGCCATAGAGACCAGAGCGCTCCTGTGGGCTGCTGCCCAGCAGGCTCGTGAGAGATTGGAGCTCACGCATCTTCACCTGCCTGTCGCCCTCCTCCTCAAACATCTCAGCGATGCCTTGTGGTCCTTAATCTGCTCAGCTGGCAGGCCCTCTGTCTGCAGGAGACAAAAGCCCTGGGGGGCCGCACTGTCCCTCTGTCCATGGGTAGGAGGGAGGGTAGGAGAGACCCCCCACACCTCAAGTCTGCCAGGACTGCTCTTCCAGATGAATAGGTTTAAAATAATGGAGGATTGAGGTCCACCATAGCAGAGCAGGGTTCCAGAACAAGGTGCAATGAAGGGTGTCAGTGTGGGCAAAACTCTGGAAAGGGCACAGGAAGGCAGGGCCCAGCAGAGGAGACAAGACGGAGACACCCAGAGGCCAGGCACGGGAGGAAGCACAGGGCTGCAAGGCCAGGCTGGGTGGATCGCAGGTGATGGTGGGCGAAGAACTCTGGGAACAGTGCAGGGGGAGCCCGGCAGCCGGGCTCAGGCTCCCAGGGAAGGCCTCCAGACCTGCAGGGGCCAGCGCGGATGCATGCAGCACCCAGCCGCCTCTCCCGCCCGGCAGCACAGGTCCCTGGGGACACTCGCCAGCTCTGGGAAAGGGCGTGCTGCTGGCAGAGGCTGGCTCGGCCCTCACCATGCCCCCTTTCGGTGGTTGTCCAGGCTGCCACCCGCCAGGCTCCCTCCCTCATTACCTGCAGGTACTGGTTGTAGCCATGCTCTTTGCCCAGAGGACTTTCCCAGCTGCTTCTCCCAGCTCTTAGCGTGACCCACCCAGCCCACCAAAGGCTCCCTGGCGCCGAGCCACCTCACCGTACCTGGCCTGGTCAGGGGTAATGCAGGGCAGTGCACCAGGCTCCCGTGGGCAGCGCACATGGTGCAGTGGGTGCCACAGCCGGAGGTTTTCTTTGTTTCTTGGTTGTGGGGTTTAAACTCTGGGCCTGGGTGCTGTCCCCCAGCTCTTCAGCTCAAGGCGAGTACTCTACCATGATTTTCCTGCCCGGGCTGGCTTTGAACTGTGCGATCCTCAGATCTCAGCCTCCTGAGTAGCCAGGATGACAGGTGTGAGGCACTGGCGCCTGGCCACAGCTGGGTTTGAGCTGGGCCCAAATGCCCATGGTCCCTGGGGTCCAGATTTCAAAAGCCTTTTGGGGGTGGGAAGTCCTGTGGCCCTAATTTGGGACAGGCTTGGCCCGTCCCCCAGGGACCCTTTTGTCCCTCTTGGGCCAAGGCCAGGGCAGGGCAGGGGGGAGGGGCTGGCTCCCAGCAGGCCTCACACTGTTCCCCCCCTGTGCCACCTCGAGTCCACCTCCCAGAGGACCAGCCCTCTCTTGTGAGACGTCTCCTGAAGGCCACAGGGGTGAGCTGGCCTGGCTTCCTGCCACTGTCCCAGGCCCAACACCACCTGCACCTCAGACGGCCCTGCGGACCACAGTGTCAGCATGTGGACTGTGCCTGGACTCGGGGAGCCGGGGCTGACCCTCTGGGTCACGGCTTCTGGGAGGCAGGCAGGGGCTATTCTGGGCTTCCTGGGAAACCTGATCTCTGCTCCACTCAGAACGGCAAAGCCGGCTCCCTGGAGAACCATGTGCCCAGGCTGGTCACTCAGCAGGACGCAGACCCTCTGTGCCATGTGCAAGCAGCGGCGCTGTCAGACCCACCTGGCTCTCTAACCGCCAGGCAGCAGCTCTGACCCCCAAGGGTCTTCATGGCCCCCTCCAGGCAGAGGGTGTGAAGCCCTTTGGCCTGCCTTGGCATCCCTAAGCCCTGTTAACTGAGGGGCTCCTCCCCCACTCACCTCCAGGACACTCACACGCATGCCCTGCCCCGCGCTGCCTGTCTGTCCTCTGGCAGCCCCGCCCTTTGCCTACGGGAATGCCCAGGGCTGTGGGGTGCTTCCTGCTCAGGCCAGCACTGAGGCTGAAGGAGGCATGTGGTGGGGGTGGGGCAGCCAGGGGACAGCATATACATTTCTCAGCAGAGGCCAGAGCAGGGACTTCAGAAGAAACCAGCTCTGTGTTTGCTAGACACCGGATGAGCCCATACCTCATCTGCGGCAGTCTGGCCCATTTTCTGCCAAGTGGGAGGGGCACCTATAAGTGCACGCTCTTGCACACAGGATTGAATGGGAGCAGCTGGTTACAGACAAGTCCACGAGGGCCTGGACACTGCACACAGTCTCTCTCACATGCTGTGGCTCTCAGCCGTGGCAACAGGCTCAACTTCCTGCGTCCTCCGTTCTGTCTCAAGAGATCCCTGCACTGGAGCACTGAGGCTTCCAGACAGTGCACACATAAAGCCAGTTAACCACTGAAAGCCTGAAGTGGAAATGTGACTCAAGTGATAGAGCATTAGCCATCAGCTCAGAGACAGGGCCACTGGTGTGCACGCACACACACGCACGCACACACACTTCTTTCTGTTTTTTTGTTTTGGTCGGTTGTGGGGTTTGAACTCTGGGCCTGGGCGCTGTCCCTCAGCTCTTCAGCTCGAGGCGAGCGCTCTACCACCTGAGCCACAGCGCCACTTCCGGTTTCCTGGTGGTTTATTGGAGATAAGAGTCTCACGGACTTTCCTGCTCGGGCTGGCTTTGAACCGCGATCCTCAGGTCTCAGCCTCCTGAGCGGCCGGGAGGACAGCGCGAGCCGCGGCGCTGGTTTACCGGGATTTTCATAAGAAGCGCATTAAAAAGACGACCCAGCACTCGTTCTTCCAAGAGGCCGGCCGCTTCCGGGGCCTCGCGCTAACGGACCGGACTGCCGCCTGCCTGCAGGGTCACCCGGCCCAGGCCTGGACGATCCGGTACGGGCCCGCCCCACCGGGCCCGGTCTCCGCCCCAGAAACAGCGCCGACTTTCTGCGCGCGACCGCCAGGGGGGGCTCGAAGGCCGCGCGAGGCGGGGCCGGGCTCG